GCGCTGAGGCGGAATTGCCAGGGGATCCAGCGGATCTTCTCGCCCGGCTTGAGGCTATGCTGTACGAGGCTCAGTAGGCGGATACTAGGCATAGTGTCGTCATCGAGGAGCTCTCCCGGGTAGTTAAGCTTGAAGTCGTTGACGAGGTCGAGGCTGGCCAGTTCAGGATATGCGTAGGCCAAGTCGTCCACTGTCTCTAGGCCTTTGAGGGCCAAGGCGTGGGCTAGAACATCGTGGACCGCATGGTCCTTCAAGAACTTAGCCAGCTCAGAGGCTGACGCGCTGGACATGGCTGGCTTCGGATGCGAAAGCTAACTTGACGGGAATGCTGCGGCGATCAGACCTGGGCGTGCATCCGCTCGCGAGGCTCTTGCGGAACGGCTTTTATCACCCCCAGGAGTCCAGGAGCTTCGCGCAGGCTTTCCTGCGGCAGAAAAAGGTGGGATCTGGATCGGCGGGGCTAAAGGCTGCCGCGGAGCGCATGGCGCCGCAAGCGGCTTTGTCCGAAGCTTCCAGGCAGGCATGTACGCACCCCCAAGGTCCATTTCGGAATAAGCTGAAGGCTGTAGGCACGCTCGGCTCGGCATCCTTGGGCTGGTCTGAGTCAGATGAAGAATCACGTTCCGCAGCAAAGCGCGCGACGAGAAGGGCTTCATGGTCATCGTCTGGTATGGCAGTCGTGGAAGAGGCTGCATAGGCTCAGTGTCCTCCTTGGCTTCCGGTAGGACGGCCTTTTCTAATTCTGCCTCTCTGGAGTAAATGAAGCGAGAAAGGCCCTCTCCGAAGGCTTCCAGCAGAAATTTGCTAGGCGGAGTGGATCTAGGCACGTCAAAAGGCGGCTCCAATGTAGGCGGCTGTCCTCCTCTGGCTATAGGCCTTGTGGGTCGCCAACCATCCGCGCACGCTTGAGCGATTTGGGCCTGCAGGTCGAGCGCCAGGAGTGTATCATCGCGGCTGTACAGTTGAACGCTGGGGCTCTTGCGATGTCCCTGATGTTGTCTGGCTTGTTCGGCGGCCCGTACCTGTGCCCCTGCGGACAGGAGGCAGACCTTGAGGGAGTGAAGGCCATGGCTTCCTCGGGCGAGACCGGTGAGGGCCGGGAGGAGTGCTGCCAAGGAACTCCCATGGCAAAGCGCATGGCGCTGAGGGCCTGGCTGTATGACATAGGCCTGTGGTAAGCGGAGTCGGCCGAGTTGGATCCCCCCAGGTTTGAAAGGGTGGGGAGTGTGAAGTCTGGGTTGAGGGGCTGCAAATAAGCCTTTTCTGTCCTAATCCAGGCGGCTTGGACTGCACGTAGGAAAGGAAGCACCCATAGGCTCTGAACCGACCTTCCAGAGATTCCCGTGAGGGTAACAGCAAACGGTTGTCCTTGGCGTGTCGTTTTGGTCTGCCAGCATATTCCTCTGAGGCTGGATGATGTCAGCGATAAGCTAGATAGGCGGATTCTTTGAAGATCCCCGAACCTGAGGCCCCCGTGCAAGGCAAGCAAGAAGCCTCCTAAAAGAATGCGCAAGTCGGCTGGGCAGTCGGCTTCGCAAAGGCGTCTCTCCCAGGCCACGACGACGGCCAGGGGGAGCGGCAAGGCTTCGCGCCTATCTGCAACTTTCTGGGAACGGAAGGCCACGATGAGGCTGTCCTGCAGGATTGTCCCTAGAGGCGATAGGCCGGCCGTCCGTGACACCCATGACAGGGCCTTGAGCGCGGACTTCGGGTCGAGGCGACAGATTTCCCTGTCCTCCTCTAGGCCTTGTTCGCACGTACAAGAAATCGGCTAACTGGGCTGTCGTAAGGGCTGCCATCTCGATGCAGTGGAAGGTCAGGTAGTCGATGAACTGACGGGCTGAAGAGAGATAGCGCTCGACTGTGCCGGCTGTGAAGGGCGCGAGGCTCTTGGCTGCTAGGGCTTCAGGGTGCTTGGAGCTGAGGAGGTGTAGCTGTAGAGGACTGTTTTCTGGGCCCAGGATTTCGAGCAGCTGACGCCACTGGTTAGAGCAAGCCGCTTTTCTTGCTGACTCCTGGTGTTCTCTGAGTACCGGGCCCGGGGGGGCGGGGGCTGTGGGCTGAGGCGCGCGGCTGAGCCTAGGTCTCTTCTCTTGTCCCCCTTGGTTGAGGGGAGGTCCTGGACAGAGAAGCTCACTGGCACTCTAGGCTGTCTATGCGCTGGCCGTCCAGGTGGGCAGAAACGCAGGCTTCTTGGGGGCGGCCTGAGCATGGGGAACGGTTTGGGTAGTGCTGGACCTATGAGGCTGCCCGACCACCTGGAATCCGGAGCAAAAAATGATGGAACTAGGCCTCCTTTATGAGGCGTTGGCGGGACCTTGGCTCGAGTCCGAACCTGTGATTCTTCCCCATGGACTGCGCGACCTGGGAGCTCCCAGGGCATGCGAGGCCGCTTGATTGAGGCAATTGAAAACGGTGGGGTCGGGCGCAATGTCACCTGAGGCTGAGGGGGCAGGGGC